AATTTAGCATATTTCTAAAGCATTTGTTGTGGCTGCTCCTTCTGTCGTTGTTGTTGTTGTTGTTGTCGTCTGTCGTGTTTCAAGTTTTGCTTCACCGTTTGCGGTGTGCAAATGCAAATTGCTTGGCTTGCATATCCTTTATGTCTTTTGTTTTTCCTATATTTTCCTCGAGATATACCCTAATTGAAGAGCATTATTAGCTGGAGGTCTAATCCTCCTTGGTCAAAAAACATTCTCAAGTAGATCTCAAAAATATATACATATCTCTGATCACATATCATGTAGGTTATAAACATATATCATCTATAAGTGTATTATATCATATATCATATAAGAAAAAGGAATTTATGATTGGTCATATCTCATTTTGGGAAAAATCCCTTTCCTTTCCATCAACTGAATTTCCTTAGCTTTCAGCTCGTACCTCCCAAGTGTATTTAGTCTTCGGTTTCGTCTACCATATTCAATTTCCTAATTTTTTTCCTGTATTTTGGTTCTCCCTGCTGCAGCCTGGTTTGGGCGCAGAGGCAACAGATGCTGTTGTTACTGAAGTGCGTCCAGCCGCGTTGATAGTTTTATTGTTTGAATGCATACACATATATGTATATGAGCTTACTATATATATACACACACATCTATTTGTAAACTTTATATTCGCAATGACTGCATGTAAGCAGATGTCTTAAGCATCTAACTCAAGCTGTCTATTAGCTGCCTAAGCAAAGCTAATCATGTTTAACAAGTTTCTCAGTGCGTGAGCTGGTCCTTAGTCTGTTCCAAGCAACGAGTTGCGCTCATTGAATAGCTCTGGTCCAAGTCTTTGGCTGGGAACTAACTAATAATAGCCACATAGCGAATTATCCCTAGCTGACTGACAGGTCAGAGAAAGTATGTCTTGGGGAGGTCTGTCCTAGGACGATTCTGGATGGCGTTGGCAGAAATCTAAAGAATGCCAATAAATCCTCGAGTGGAATAATTCTAGTTTTTTGCTAGAAGTTTGTCTCGACTTAGGTTTAGATTATCATTCTTTATGCTAGCACTTAATATACATCCCCAAAATAGAGTCCCAAAACATCCTAGAAAAGTTTATGGCTAAAGGTTTGTCTAGCTGGGGCAGGAGAGCCGACAATATAGATTCCCGACAGATCCTGGAGTAGAAATATTCTGTCTGACTATATGAAGCAAAGTTGTTGGGGGCTTTAGAGTCTACCAATATCTAATTAACATATTTGTGAGTAATTTTCCAGGGAAAAGTCTAGTTAAAAGTTTCCTCTAGCTATAGTAAGGTATGGCCCAGGCTCTTGTATAGAAGAAATATTTGTTATGATTCAGAGGATGATGAGAGACGTTCACTAGACTCAGGTTTATGTGCTTATGTGTGTAGATATATACATCTATGTAGCCACTTGACTGTGCTAAGGCAGCTCTCAGTTGAGACTTCCTAGGGATGCAGCTCCAGCTGAGAATCTCACTAGACAATATTCAATTCAGTCAAGTAACTGTCAATTGCTTTGGCTTAATCATCGGATCCGTAAATGTGCTGTGCAATTATCGCGTCTGTCATAAGGATAAACTGCAATTGTCTGCCGCGGACTAATTAGTTTCTGTTTACCAATATTTACAGTCCAGCTGGTTTCTGGATAATCATCAGCAGAGAGTGAGAGAGAGAGAGGTAGCTAGGGGTGGTGGTTAGATATATTTCATATAATATTCATTAATCATTGAATCAACAGTCGAATTGAACTTAAATGCAATTGTCATGTCACACTGTGCACAGTGGTTGAGCCAAGACGTGCCACATTTCAAGTATCATTGCCAGCTTGTTGTCGGAGTTGGGAAGTTGTTGTTGTTGTTGTTCTTCTTGTTGTTGTTGTTGTAGGTCCTTGGCCCTTTGGTGGTCCAGTTGCTGTGTTTATGTTGTCTCATGGTCGTGCGTCCAGATGTTTTGATTCAGTTTTAATTCATTTCAGTTGGCGGCGCCAGCGACTGTTATTGCTGCCATTGTTGCTGTCGTTTGTTCTTGTTGCTATTAAGAAAAACGCCTCCAAGAATAATCGACTAAACGAGCGAGCAAACGAGAATTGGTTGACGACCCTTCTCCGGCCTCTCACTCTCTCTCTCTCTCTCCCACTCTCTCTCGCTCACTGCTCCTTCTCGTCGACATGCAGCCAACCAGCCGGCAATAAAAATATGATTGTATTTTCGCTTGAGTTGTTTTCATTTCTCGATGATGTCGAGGACCGTAGTGAGCGAGGGCAGTGGCGAGGGGGACGGTCGGTCGGTCGGTCCAGGCGACCGCAGCTTTACCCCAATTCCTTCAGTTTCCACTTCCTGCCTCCATATACAGCTCCGGGCTTTTGGTCTTGGCCTGGCCCAATGCATGGTTAAATCAAGCAAGCGCTCGACCATTGAACCGCTCTCCGCTTTTTGTTGTTTTTGCCTCTGCTGGCGGATAACAACTTGGGGCTTTTGTTTTGTTTGCCGCCCACACACACACACACACACACACACACACACAGACACAGAGAAGCAGAGTGAGAGAGAGCATTTGAAATCAGTACGGCAACTCGCATATTCGCTACATTACATTCTCGGTTGCCATTAATCGTGGGGCTGCGGCTGCCCAGTTGGCAATGGGCATCTTCACGAGGGCCGCCTTGCAGCTGCCCTGATGTGTCCATGGCTGGCTCTGCGGCGTCGTCCATGTCCTCCATGTCGTCCTTCGACATCAGCCCGACTCGCCAAGTCTTTCATATTTACTCGAGTGATGTAATTTTTGAATAGCTTAAGGCTTTTCAAAATATTTAGCATGGCAAATCCTTTTTAAACGTTGATTTCGACTGCAGTCAGCGCTGCCTCGGCTTCAGCTTCAGCTTCAGCTTCTGCTTCTGGCCCTGTGTCCTGGCTCTGGCTCTGGTCCTGGTCTCCTCGGCCAAGGGACGGTCCTCTGCCCTCCGTCGAGTGCTTGGCATATGCATATGCGTATTATTGTTATTAATAATAATAAATTAGATGGATGCCCTGCATGCGAGCACGAGCATGAGCAGCAGATTTTGCGTTTCATTTTTCACGAACGGCCACTCCTCGAGTCAAGTTCAAACATGATTATTCAACAATTGATTCGGAAGCTTAGCCAAAAGAACGCTTGTCGGACAGCTATAGACATGTAGGAGCTTATTGGAGTTATTGCTACAACTATCTCTAGTATTATGCTTGCTGCAATTAGAGAGGAGCTTCAGACTTGCAGTGTTGCTAAACGTTTATTGATTGTGGCGATTGTTAGTCTATCTTAAAGTTCAGATTACGGCCATTAGATGATTAGTGATTCGAATTAATGCGAACTCGGCGAACATGTCCGTGTAACAAATTCGTCTGTGGATACCCCGCTTAAGCTAAGAATGAGTCTTCCAATATGCTTCTACTTCTGGCACATTCTATATCATGTATTATCGATGAATTTATAAAAAAGATTTGTATAGGTGGAAAATCAATCCAGTCATATCATGGATAACTGTGCTCTACGGATTTTATAACGGGCTTATGATAAGTGATAGATCATATCATTCATATGTACTTTGAATACATTGGGTCAAGAAATGTTCGATTAATGAAAGAGAAAAGAGAGAGAGAGCGAAAAAAAGAGGCAGAGACTTAGAGAGAGAGAGAGAGACAGAGAGAGAAGAGCGCCATAGTTAGGAGGATAATCTGAAAATAAAGAAAAATGTTAACAAATAGAAAACGAGCTGCATATGAGAGTATTCCAACGAAATCGATACAGTTGTGAGGAGCTATCGATAAATGCATAAATAATTGCAGTTATGCCATTAATATAATTGACTAAGTCGAGGACTTCTGTAGCCAGTGCTTGACTTTATAAGTGAGCTCTCTCTAACCTCTAAATAAATAAAATATGATCAATAGCATAAGGCAAACACTCGCAATTGCAATTATTATCAAATTGAATTTCTGTTTACTTTTTGCACTTTTTTTTTCCCGTTAACAAATGTCGCTGTTAATTTAATGCAGGCCCGAGCTAAAAGCCTCAAATTGCATTAACAGCGTTGAATAATTATTGCGTCAACAATGTGGGCGATGATTGAAGCTGATTGAAGCATTAAAAGCTTTAAATGAGAATGTAAAAAAGGCAGACAAAGTGGAAAAATTGCAGGCAAGTTGATTAAAGAGCCAAAGTTGCCTCATTATTTAGCATTTATTATCAATTTGCCTGGCATTTAGTGTTTAGATGTTGCACAACACTGTTTAGCCAACTGACGTTTATCAGCACCGAACGAGCGAAACTTTCGGGCCAAAGTTGAAGCGGAAATAGAAATCGAGCAGCAGCAACAAGAACAACAGCAGCTGTTGCTGCTCCTCCTGCTCAACTTTGTTGTAGTTGTAGTTGTGCACAAACAAAGAAATAACAACAATGACACACACACACACACACACACACACACACACACACAAACACATACACTAGTGTGTCCAAAAAAAAAAAAGTGCTCAAAAACGCAAAAGGCAAATAAAAATTTGTAATGAAATTTTGTGCGCTGACATTTCGAAAAATTGCTTTTTAACCTTTGTGCCTTGGCTGTGGAAGTTGTATCTAAAGCCGGAGTCGTAGCCGTAGCCGTAGCTGTAGCCGTAGCCGTAGCTGTAGCCGTAGCCGTAGCCGTAGCAGCTTCTACATGTTGTCACTGACATGCTACACGTGTATCTCTTTGGCCTGGGCGCCGCCTCGTCCAGCAGCAGCAGCACGCCCTCACTCCCTGCCTCTCCTCTCACTCCCTCCCCCCTCTCTGTGTGTGTGTGCGTGCGGTTGGGATGCCAAGCAAAGTTGTGCAGCATCGAAATCTGTAAGCTGAAAACTCTGTGACATGCTTTTAAGTTTTCGGCTGGCATGCACATGCAGATTATTATTAGGTTGTTGCCCCTCTGCCGCTGCCGCTGCTGTTGCTGCTGCTGCTGCTGCTGCTGCTGTTGCTGCTGTCGCTGCTGCTGCTGCTGCTGCTGCTGCTGCTCCTGCTCTTTCAGGTGAGCTGGCCCGAGCTCTGCCCGACGAAGCCCCAAAAAAAACTTTGCCCATGTCCAGCTGGACGAGGCGGGACGGAGCTCGGGGGGGCATGTGCCATTTGCGTTGCTATAAGTTTTGTTCTAACAAACCAATTACTCGCACCAATTTCCACAGGCTGCCTTCGACTTTCGCATCGCCTTACATGATGGAAGAGTTCGACTTTGAGCTGTGCCAACTGAATAGACACACGACTGAGTGAGAGCGAGAGAGAGAGAGAGAGAGAGAGTGAGATGCTGAAGCAAAATACAAATACGACTTTCAGTTACTTTTTCATTATTTTGCCAAGGAGTTTGTCCTTTTGCGTGTGCGACACACTCGGCAAAGACACTTGGCTCGCATGTTCCCATATCTCAGGACCATCACTCTCCCTGTCTCCCTCCCCCTCCCTGCCCCTCTCACTGTGTGTATTGCAATGTTCAAAACATTGGCAGATGTCGCCGCACTAGCAAAAGTTACCAGAACGAGCAAGAAGAGAGAGAGAGAGAGAGAGGTAGAGATTGAGTGAGAGAGGGGGGCGCTGCAACAGGGCTGGCAGCGGAAGGGGATCTGCTTGGCGTATGTACAGATGCCGAGACAAGGACAAGACATGGCAGTCAACTCTGCAGAAATGTCTAAAAAAAAAAAAGTTCGTACAAGTTTACTTTCTTTTCTTTCCATATTATTTCTCTCTCTGTCTCTCTCTCTCTCTTTGCTCTGTCTTTTTCTACTAATTTTTCTTGTTTATTTCCATTTTACCAAATAGGCGCTCCGCGCTCGCTGCGCCAGCCTTAAAGCGGCTCTAGGCAGAAGAAAATGTCGTTGGTACAAATGTTGGCATAAATAAATCATTGCAATGGATCAACAATTGCGGCCAGAAACTTGTCAACAACTCGGGGCGAGTCAGAGAGCCGCCGTGGCCAACTGGCAAATATTTGCGAGACAAATTCAATTAGGTCCATTTGGAAATGGAACGATCTTTCATGGAGTGGAAAAGCCTTAAAGGTGCGCCACAAATTGATAGAAAATCTCAGCTGGGCTCGAGCTCAGCTCTGTCTGAAATAATAAGGACGGCACATTCAAGGCAGAGCCTGAGGCTGAAGGGATGACATCCGCTGGACCAAAGTGGAATCTGATGAGCGTAAATACTCTAGAGGAGAATATAAAGTAGTAAAAAGTCTAACGAATGTGCTCCTAAGCTTTGTTTCATTCCCGCTCACAGCTTTGTATTCTTTATTCATTATGTTTTTATAAAAATGCAATATATAATTTAATATTAAAAAATAAATTCTGGCTCAAATGCGACAGAAATATATAATTAAATAATATAATAAAATATGTACATATATAATTAGTTCGTATATTAAAAACATCAAAGTAACTTTCGTCGAAGACTATTTAAAAACAGTGACCTTGAATTGAAAGAGAGATTGGAGGAGTAGAGAGGGACAGAATGAAAGAGGGAGTTCAAGGGAGAGGGATAGAGCGGTAGGCAGTTTGAGGGGAATAGTGAGAGAGCGGCGAGGGAGAGGTCGGAACAGGGATTGGAGCAAGGGGGAGAGAGACTAGTTTAATAATTTATCTTATTGGGAGTGGGGGGTAAATTGCATAAAAAATTGAAATTCTATAAAATACACATGACTCTCTCTAAATATTATTTGGAAGCTCTAGCTCCAAATATGTAGGAGATATAATAAAATAGGGCTTTATTCGATAATAAAAACTCGATGTGCGCGTGATACACACTGACCTGATTTCCCATTGATCAAAATGAGAGAGATTAATAATTTTACCCTATTACCCAGGCCAGAGCCCTTTAAGGCTTTCTTACTCTCGCAGCTTTAGTAACCCAACAAAGCATGAGGAGGTAAAGACAGTAACGAAGGCAAGCTGACGAAGATCACAAAAACTGGGTTATCGAATAGCCCCAGCCATATAAATTCTGATGAAATATATATGAATAAATCATGCCCTCACAGACTCATAAAAGCAAGACTCTCACTAGACTTCCTTCGACTCCCTGCTCTTCAGAATGCATTCGCTGCTTAAATAAATATCCATAAGTACTACTAAAATGATCGAGACAACTATATGAGCCTTAGCAAAGCCAACCCTAGCTCATTCCCTTCAATAGACTTTGTCCAACAGAGCTAAAACAACATGTGGCATACTTTGTACGGGACGCGTGTCCAGGCGTATACGTGATAATTGGAGACAAGGCCGGGGCTAGTATTGAGGTGACGAGAGCTGAATGTGGCACAGCTGCTTGTGGCCTGAAGATTGTTAATCTTTAGTTTGAAATGTTCATCAGTGGAGGAAGTTGTCAACTTATCTTGGCGCACCTGAAGCATAAACATGCAGCTCTTTTGTGTTGTTGCGGCTGTGGCATGTGCCACATGCAGCAAAGTCCAGGAGCGAATGTTCCATTCTTTTCTTTTCTTTTCATTTCAAGCCATTGTTGCTGTTGTTGCTGCTGTTGTTGTTGCTGTTGTGTGTTAAGATTAAGTCGCATGTGGAACGTGTGTCTCCCTCTCCCTCTCACACACCTCCTCTCTCACTCTGCCTGTGTATGTGTGTAAGTGTGTGTGTGTGAGTTGTCTTTGGGCTGCTTTGGCCGTTTAACTTCTTTCACTTGCACTTGCAACATACCCCACTTCCTACCTACTCACACCACCCCACCACCCCACCACCCTCCACTCAATCCCACATCAGGCAGCATATTATGAAGATGAAGCAGCAGCAGCAGCAGCTCGCGCATGCTGTTGTAAAAAGTTTTTAATTTTTCTTTTCAAACATTTAACTAAAAGAGCAAGTCCTTGCTTCCCACGCCAAAAGCGCTGCCAGCAACAACAACAACAACAGCAACAGCAACAACAATACGAGCATCAAGATTAAAGGGGGACTACGAAAGAAATTATCCTTCTCAATGCTCTAGCCATGGGTATTTTCATATCAACTATTCATATGTAACGTCCACTAAGCTGAGATGTACGTGATACACTCGGGCATATAAACTTTCTGTAGGAATCTACTGTAGCATTAAGTCAGCATTAGATTTAGCTTTAGTTTTGATTCAAAAAAGTTAATTTTATTTTGCTTTTAGATAGAAATAGAATTAGTGACAAAACTCTTTCAAGTGAGTTAAGGAGCATTTGGGGCATAAACAGAACATTTCCTTTACATATTTCAGATATTATAAGAGAACTCTAAATGAAAGACCTCAGCTCAGCATAGATCGCTGTAGTGCAATCAGATGAAAGATATAAAACATATCAAGGAATTTCGTATATTATTTACAGTTTTATTGGAATCTGTATTCTCATAGTCCTTTTCTTATATAGAAGGTAATATAACATGTCCCTTTTAATTAACATGTATTTAGAGTTTTGTAGAACTATATATTCCTATAGTTTCAGTGGCATAAAATCGAATCCATATTTGAGTACCATATATATATATATTTATAGTGCTATAGAACTCTATATTCCCATATTTTCATTAGCATAAAATCTAGTATAACTCTTATCTGATTGCCATATATCTTCAATTGTTCCACAATTCCACAATTGTTTCCTTCTTCTAGGGTATTTTCTAGCTGGACTCGCTTCTAATTGCAGCTGCATCTTCGGCTTGTTCTTCTTCTTCTTCGTTTTCATATTCTTCATCTTCCTCTTGCTCCATTGCCTTACAACTTTTTGCTTGGCAAAATATCATACGCATAAAACAACATACGCCGAGACCGAGAGTCCCCTTCCCTGCGGCTCCCTCAGACAGGACATCATGTGATCTGAATACAGAGCACCCGCTCTCCCTCTCTCTCTCTCTCTCTCTCTCTCTCTCTGTCTTTTCCCTCTGCCTCTCTCGCCTTTGCGCTATTTAACTTGCTTTATTTTTCTTTTAATGAAACAGTTGTTGCTCGCGGCATTATTATGATTATTATGAGGCATGCAAAAGTTGCAGTTAAAGCGTCGTGTAAAATAATATTTAGATGCCAACTTTCTGGCTGCAGTTGGTAGCTTCAGCCCCCGCCTCACACCTCCTGCTCGCTGCTCTTCAAATTTTGCAGTTTAATTAAATTTTGCCAGGGCCGAAATTCTGAGCAAGAAGACCGCCAAATGCCAAATGCCAAAGCCAGTTGCTAGTTGCCAGTTGCTAGTTGCCAGTTCGGATTGCACCGCAGCAATGTTGCTTTTAGTTTTTGCCAAAATCCCTTAAATTAATTGAGTCTGGCCGGGCTGAGCCCTCCAAGCCGAGCAAGCTAGAGAGTGAGAGAGAGCGCGAGAGTGAGAGAGAGAGAGAGAATGAACTCAGGCAGCAACCAGTTGCCGTAGCTTCTGTCACATCACAGATTGACTACCGAAGCCTCACAGTGTACTCTCCCTCTCTCTCTCTCTCTCACACTCACTAGTCCTCTCTCACTCTGCCACTCTATCATGTAGTTGGCGAAATTAAGTTGCAACCTTCTTGGCATCAGCTTGGCGCCCCCCTCCTTCGCTCAGCTTTGGCGTTCCAAGTTTGAATAAAGCATTTGCATTTCTATGTCTTCGCTTAGATTTCAATTATTAGCTGCTTTCCTAATTGCATTACATTATTGTAATCGTCATGGAGCTTTGGAAAGGAGCTTTATTGATTTATGATCGTAGTCGATAGGCAACAAGCCGAACTGCTCTCGTTACACTCTGTTAGTATCCCTATTCACCTGCACTCGAATTGCTTTTGATGAAACATATGCACATCTAATTAGGAATCTGGTTAACTTCCTACGTACATGTTATCGATCTTTATGTTATCGGCATGAATATTTATGTCGTATGTCTACTATCTTTATGTTATTTATCCGTTTATTATCGATAGGCATGATATCGCTTTACATCTTTGTGTTCTGTACTTCTATGAGTAAAAAAAAATATTCGATTTACATATAATCGATAAATATGATATCCACAGCAACTAATGCGTTTGCTATCGATATTTCGGCCATCGATAACTCAGAATCTAATGGCTTAGCAAATATATCTAGTATCTTCTATCTTCGATTAGTATTTTTAATCGATATATGTGTTATGCCTATCGATAATAATAATAATAATAATGTTATTGATGAAAGTAGCACATTTCATAAAATGCTTCAAATATTTCCCCCGCTCTCCCAATAATATTACAATTTCAATTAGCCTAGTCTTCAGTTGCAATAGTTTTCAGGTTCTCTCAGGTCTCTAAATATTAAACTAACTTATAAAAATTTGCATTTGGAAAGCAATGCAGAAAACCACTTGAAGTGCTCGGTTGGGATTGCTTTTACGGTTCCACAGAGCCAATCCAACTGCTCGGCAAACCAATTTCGATAAGCATCTGTGTCTGGGTCTCTGTGACGGATGCCTGTCCGGGAACACAGTTCCACTCGTATCGGAGTAGAATCGGCTTTTGGGCTTTGCTTTGCGGTCGGACGTAATCGCCAGCAAAAATCTACTGTGCCCGCATGTTGGGCCATAAACATTCAAAGCAGTAAAATTTGTTAACCGAGTTGTCGCTGTCATCAACAGATGCGAATCCCATTCGGTGCGCAGGGCTAGTTCCAGTGAGAACAAAGAAAGGCTCGCATTCCTACAAGTGCCTAACTCCCCTGTCTGAGCGCCAACAATGAACGCACCGAAACTCTGTGCTAGTCAAAAGGATTTAGAATTTTTCACATTTTACCGCAAAATAAGTGCATGGCAATCAGGCGAGGCAGAAATAGTCGATAATCAATCGTGCCCAACTATCGAAAGCTACAAGTGGACTTGGCAATTTTTATTTTTATTTTCTTCAATGCTTATTGATACTTGTCGAGCTAAAACTAATAAAAAAACAGAATATATCGATAAATATCGATATGATGCAGTCGATATTGATCGATAAATACCAATAAGATTAAATACAGTTAAGAATTGAATTAATATTTTCTAATGTTACTAAATGCTGCATTTAGTCTATCGAAATCGATCATTATCGCTGAATGAGAAGACCTTACTTAATAATATCATCTTTAATTGGTCATTCAAAAATATATATTACACTCAATAGACAATAGCTAAAATATCGATAAATATCGACATCATGCATTCAACATTAATCGATTATTTGCTTACAAGTGGACATGGTAATATCCATACATTTAAGAGTCATTTGTATTGAAGTCGTCGAAATCGATATTTATCGCTATTGTTGAAATGGCAAGAAACATCCATCAAGTATTAACTATGTCTCAAGATTTGATAATCTATAAAAAAGATGATAAATAACAGGATCTAGGGACAGAAATTCATATTAGGTTTCTAGAGTCTCTTTTAGTATACGAATATCTACATACGAGAAGAGGCAAAACTCGATTGACTCGACTCGACTGCACCTGAAAATGTTTGCCAATTGTCTGTATCTGTGGAGGTGCACACATACAGCATGATTGACCACACTTATGCACACACACGTACTCAGGAGAGTACATGGAACGACTATGGCAATTGGGCTGGCCACCCGGATGGACATCTTAATGGTGAGGACATCTAAAACAATTTCCCATTAATGACGACAACGTCAATTTCAGGCACTCGGCTACTGCAATGTTTTTTCATTATTTTCAGCAGCTATGGCGTTGGGGCTGAGAATGACGCTGTGGCTGCTGATGTTGGTGGAGTCGTTCCTTTATGATGACGTTACGAGGGCTCGCTGCTCCGCTGTTCGCCTGACTGACATGATACGGTAATGGAATTCAATAAAAGCTGAGAGTGCACAAACTGTTTGGCATGCAAACGACCGACGGCCTTTTCCGTGGACTTGCATCGTGGAGTCATCGGGCGTTTGTCAGGCTCATTTGTTAATTTTGTCGCAGTATCGCTGAATGTTACCGTTCAGCAGCCCATCCGTAGGTGGTTGTTCGCGCAGCACATGCACGCACAGCAACAGCATTCAACATGTGCCGTAATTTATGCCCTGCAAGAAATACACACATTGTATGCCCGAGATACACAGAAGAAATTGTGGTCCATCGACTATGATGGAGACTTTACAACTGCATATTTCGGACGTACGATTGGGATTTTTCATGCTTGATCTCTTCCTTCATAAAGCATTACCTATATATGTATGTTCAGGTTGTTCCATCAGCCTTCACCTTTCTTCTATGAAGTACTCCATATACATATATACATATATACATACGTTTATATGTATATCCAGGTATTCCATATTCAGGTTGTTCCATGTCTTTACATTCGTCCTTCTCTCTCCCTTTCTTCCTTCTTTCAGACTCCCTCTGTAAAGCACTCCATTTATATGTCGGGGTGTTACGTATTTCATTAATGCCTTCCATTATAGTTGCGCCCAATAACGAGTTCCCGGTGTTGCTTAACTCTTTTATAAAGCTATTTCTTGCTCAATTGTCTTTGACATTTGATAATCTTGTTTATCGAAGGCATAACGACCCTGTGCGAAGGACATTACTAGCCGTCTCGCTCTCACCCAGCGACACCCGGGACTACGTTCAGCAACAGCTAGAGTTGTCCCTCTCCCAGTGATCAATCGATTAACACGAATTGCCAGTCTTTCTCAACACTACTCAACATACTGACGGTTACACGCCCCTGTGCAATTTTTGTCATAATACAATATCATTCCGACATATATATTTAGGTATTTCATATCGAGATTCACCCTTTTCCTTCTCTTCCTTCCTCTTTAGCAAAGTATTCCATATACATATATTAACATATTCAAGTATTTCATATTATATTCAGGTTAGTCCATCTATTGAGATTCTTCCTCCCTTCCTTTGTCCTCCCTTTGTGAGGTATTCCGTACACGTATACTCAAGTATTCAAGTACGTCCGACTGTAGTTCAAACACAATCTCATGCCCTTCGACAACACGCTGTTTCAGTGCTGAAAACATAGAGTGCTGTGCGTCGAGCCTATAAGCTCCCGCCTACGGAGCTCACATCAAAATTTCAGTCTCATGCTCACTAGCATTGAAATATATTATTTATATTTTTTCACTGGAAATTCAAATTAAAATTTACAAATTTTTTCACATAATTCGAAAATGTCTCACATCGTGAAACCGGTGCACGCTAGCCTCCTCATGCAAATGCTGTTGGACGGCAATCTGTATGTGGCCGTCACTTGGGCCTTCAGCTACTTGCTGAACATGTTCGTTTATGTAAGTATGCCCCATTATCGTGATCGGCGTCGCAGCTATAAGAACTCGTTCACTGATTTCCTTTTCGCTTAGGAGTGGCCTCGCTTGAAGCTGTCCATGGTGCTGCTTTATGTTGTGACCGTGACTATCGAGAGCATGCGCATCTATATGGGCTACGTCCTCAATCTGAGCCCCAAAGGGCCGCACTCCAAGCTGCCGCTCGCTTTGGCCCTGGGCGCCTGCTTGCCCATGATGTGCCTCAGCTGGTATCTGTACGACGATCGCGCGATCTGGATGCGCGTCATCTACAATGTCTGGACATTCTTCATAGTGCTCGAGCTGATCGTCGCGGCTCACATCATCTGGAAGCGTGTCAGGAATGTGCAGCTTCGGCCCGACTGGTCCGCAATGGAGGCCAATCTAATGGCACGCCGCCGCCGCAGCGCCCACTCGCACCATGCAGACTCGTTCCACGTACCCTCGTGCACTGATCATTTGTAAATCGTTCAAAATCGTTTAAAATCGTTCATATCGCTTAAAATTGTTTAAAATCGTTAATTGTTAATGCAAGAATGCAAAAAATAAATAAATAAATCAGGGCAGTCAAAAAAAAAGAAAGATAAAGTGAGCGAGAGGGAAACGGAAAGGGAAAGGAAGAGGGAGAGAGAGCATCTGCTAGTTGCTATATTGCCCGCGTCTCGTTGGGTGGCTAGTGTATGTGCTAGTGCCACGCCCACATGTATACACCTTGACTGCCCAATCCCTTTCGGTGTTGCTTTTATTGCATTTACTTTGCGTCCAGCGGCCAATGAAGCCGCTTGATGGCCCGACCGGATGTCGTTTTCAATAAAGGCGTCTCAGGCGTTAAGCCAAACACACAGCACAGCCCCAGCCCCAGCCGCAACCCCAACCCCAACCCCAACCCCAGCGCCAGATGAGACACATGTGGCTGCCTTGGCTTGGCTGGATGGCACTTTAATTAATTTCTTTAAGTTCATTAACGTTTGACTTGTTCAAGCAAGCGAAAATGGCGATACAGCGAATGGGCGGTCGAGTCCCTCAGTCTCGGACTTCCACTCCGTTTGATGGTCTTGTCAACTGAATATTGCCTTCGGCAGCAAAGGCCAACCCCCCACAAGAAGACGTTTCCGCAAGAAAAAACCGCAAGAAAATAAACTTAAAGTGCATGCAATATAAATATGGGCCTATCGCAACTTTGTTGCTTGACAGATGGTTTGAAATGAAAGCTAGAGCAAAGCTTGCTTCGAGAGACATCAGATAGAGAGGGTTTAGCCTGGCGATATATCGATACACGGTTAGTACAGCAGCGTAATCGGTAAGCAAAAGATACGATAGTTTGACGACGCAGAATATCGAATATGTATATAAAATTATATGTACTTCAGCTTTGATAAGATCTTACATTAATGGTATATTGGTCTATTTATAAGAATGTGTAGGCTTATTTGGCGCATAAATGCGATAGACATACCATACACTAATACGATAGTATGTATATATCGCATCAACAGTAGATCATCAAACGTAGATATCGATAGGAGTAATAAAAGACCAGGATATATCAATGTGATATACAAATTGGAAAGACTATTGTGAATATCTCCGTCGAATATGGACAGCCCTGTTCAATAAGAGGACTTCATTTTCGATTAACGATTGTCCCGTTTGACACAGCTTTGCTTCACTTCAGTTGAGAATTCTATCGTCGTCAACGAGGCCTTTGGTGTCCTGTTTTGAGGGAGAAAAAAGGTGAATCTGATTTAGTTTCACATTGAAACTCCAGCAATGTAAGTTCAAAAATCATGTGAGCAACGCACGAGAACAAACGAAAATTTCCAATAACAATTTTTCCAATAACACATTTTCCAAATTGCAAAACCGTTTAATTTGTACCAAAAATAAACAAAATAGAGGGCGAGTGAGCGAGAGACAGAGAGAGAGTGTGACTGAGAGGAGAAGAGAAGCCACGAAGCCCGATAGCATGTCGAACCTGTCGTGTAAGGCCCAAGGCAGCACGTCCGAAACGAAGAGCGGGCAGGAGTCGTCCCCGCCGATGGCAGCGAAGGCGCTCCCTGCTGGCGAGGAGCCGGCCGGCGATGAGAACGCGCCCAGCACCAGCCAGGGACGGCAGCACCACTGCAGCCACCACAGCAGCAGCGGCGGCAGCGGCGGCAGCAGCGGCAGCCACCACAGCGAGCAGCTGCTCCAGGCGGTAGCTGCCAGCAGCAGCAGCGGTAGCAGCAACGACCACGACACCTACGACGACGACGTCAACGACACCGGCAACAGCCGCAGCAGAGTTGGCTCCGCCACGCCCACGACACAGCTGAACGGCCCAGTGATGCGCATCAAGCGGGAGCTGAACGAGATCATGCAGAATCCGCCGCCCAACTGCAGCGCCGAGATGTACAAGGACGATCTGTTCCATTGGAAGGCGGCCATCGTGGGGCCCAGCGGGACGGCGTACGAGGGCGGCACCTTCAAGCTAGACATACGCTTTCCGGGCGCGTATCCCTTCCGGCCGCCGCAGATCCGTTTCATAACGCGCATCTATCACTGCAACGTGGACAGTCGCGGCGTCATCTGCCTGGATGTGCTCAACGAGCGCTGGTCGCCGGTGATGAACATTGCCAAGGTGCTGCTCTCCATTTGGGTGCTCATCGGCGAGTGCAATCCGAATGATCCGCTAGTCATGGGCATTGCCGACCAATACAAGTGCAATCGCAAGGAGCACGACAAGGTAGCGCGCTACTGGACGAAACGCTTCGCCATGCCCAAGACCAAGTCCAGCTCCAAGTTCGAGCAGGAGCAAATGCAGTCGAACGCACAGCAACCGGACAAGTCGGACCAGGCCTCGGCTCAGATGTCGGAGCAGGTGTTGCAGCCCTTGTCGCTGCCGTCCATGCCGGAGCAGCAGGAAGACGCATCTGAGCAGGATCCAGAGACACCGATGAGCAGCGGAACAGGCAGTGATGGCGCTACTGTTAACCCCAGCCGTAGCGAACTTTAGACAGATTTTTCCCCATAATAAACAAACTGCAAATTTACTCCAGCGTATACATATAGAGTGGGGCGGTGCGGGACGGTGCGGGACGGTGCTGTGGGTACGACCAGGCCTTGGGTGTGAGGTCAAGTGTTGGGCGTGAACAATTTGTGTAAATGCGGCAAGCGGACAAAAAATATGACTTGCATAATATGCCAGAACTCCCACACTCACCTCTACCCTCGGCCCCTGGCACCCGCTCTGCTCCCAGTACAGTCCAGCTGCTGACGCCAGTAGATAGCTAGTCGAGCCTTTGCGCGTTCATGTCCATGAATATTCATGAGCTGCCAAAAATGAGGCGTGCATAAGGCGCTGCCAACGACTCGAGGCTGGGCGTGGGAGTTGAGCAGGAGCGGGGCAGAACGGGGGCGAATGCTTGAAAAATGAATTGGAACGCGAATGGGTTGAACGGCGGTTAGAACGGGTGGAAGGGGTGGTAGGACATGCGATTGGAGTCAGTTGGTTAAAGGTGTTGAAGGCGAGCTACCAAGCACACACACACATGCACATCTACCCACATATATGTACATAAACACACAGAGGGGACACACGCAGAGGGAACTGCAGTGTTGGCAGCTCTGCGAATGCGAGTGTGAGGCTTTTTGGCATGGGCGTATACCTAATTAGGACTAGAGATATATGTACATATATCTTTTCAAATAGGTGTATAAAAAGAAGCGGGTGTTGGGAAAATATTTATTAAGCTCGGTCTGATTTCCGGGGACAATCACTGCAGATGCTGCTCCAGGTCTATCAAATGCTTTATGTTCGCATTGAGTTATTGCATTAAGGACTAAGAGAATCGAGAGCGCAGATCTGAAAATAGCTAATTATAAAGTGGGCTGCGAGTCGGGCCCTGGGGCGGCTAATAGCACAATTGGGTGTCAAGACACTGCCTAGACTCTGGATGAGAGAAAGAGAGCAAGAGAGAGAGAGAGCGAGAGAGGGGGGATACGGTAGATCTAAGGAAAGCGACACTCAATTTGCGAAATGCGATAAATTGAATGAAAAGTGTGAAAATGAAGAGGAGTCATCAGCGACAGGATAAAAGAGTGGGCGGCGGCCTGGGCGGGTCAGTGTTGCAAGCTTAAGCAGAACTGAAGCGAAACACGCCAACAAAAAAAATGAAAACAAAAAAAACAGAGAGAGAAAAAAATGTAAATGAAAATTCAAGGAAATTTAATAATAAAAACATCAGCATAAAGTAAAACGCATAAAATCCAATGAAATGTAAAAGGCAACCAGAGTTTCGTCCGCTGGACGGACGCAAGGACAGCAGCGATGTGTCCTTGTGTGTCCTGGTGCTGATGCTCGATGCTCGCGCGCGTGTGTGTGTGTGTGTGAGTGTGAGTGTGAGAGTGTGTACAAAATAGCGTTGGGTAATCACATTGCGTCGCTCTGTCGCTGTGTCCTGCCCAGGCAGGATATGCTCAATTGAACATGTTGATTGCTGACAGCGCAGACTCCGCCTCAGCCGGCGTGCTCTCCTTGCCCGCACAAATGAGGAGTCAATTGAAAATCAACTTAGAGCTTGCTTTAATGGAATTAGTTGTACATAGTAACAGCACCAGCAGCAGCACCACCAGCAGCAGCAGCACCAGCAGCAGCAGCAGCAACAGTTCCATCGGGTTTCATCATCAACATCATCTCCAGATGTAGCCAGCCGAGCGTTGCGCTCCACACACAAAGATCCTGCGACGCATTTCTGGTTTACTGCAGCTGAAAGGGTAAAACACCTAACAAAATACAGTAACAAATACACACACACACACACAGAGATGAATGCATATAATAGACGTGTATGTGTGTGTGTGTGGGTTTATGGCATTCTATATTTACCTGCCCGCATGACCCTAGCGGGTCAGTCAGTCGATTGGGCGTGCAGCTAGAAAAACATTTGAATGCAGCTCGATTGATGTTGAGCAGTGTTGAAAAGCGTGTAAATGAAATTAGAAAGCAGCTCCATGGACGACACGCCCCAACGCCCCAACGCCCACACACGACCAGCCCCGCCCATTAGACCCACATGCATGCATACATGCATGCACAGCTCGCATATCCCTTCAGTTTGTACAGTCAACACGCAGGCGACATTAGAAAAACAGAAACCAATTCGCAGAGGATTTTTTGGATTCGTATGCGGCGCCGACTAGCGCATGCCCTGACTTGAAACCGAAAAGTTGCTTGAGCTCAGAAAGTAAACATAGATTCAAACTCCAAATGAGACGCAAAGAATTCGCAGCGAAATCCTTAATTAGTGTTGCGAAATGCATCAAAATGAGAGCAGCCCTGACCTGTGCCGTTTATAATTGTATTCTCGATTGCAATTGAGTTTGATAGCAGACAAACGTCACGCCAATTAAGTGCAATTATGGCCAGCACTTTCACAGGTCCATCTATCAAGTATCCAATTAAGTAGGGCTTCATTAGGCAAACCTCTTCCAGCTGACCATCGAGTGCCGCAAAGCCATACGATTGAATGCCTGAGCGAATTGGTGCATGAATGAAGGAGCGAATGCCAGCTTGTGACCGGCCATAAAGAGCACTCAGTTTACGCTCACAATCATCGTCATCGTCATCGGCATCGTCATCGGCATCGTCATCGTCATCGGCGTCGTGGCTGTCATCGCTTTGTCTTGGTCGAACTCGTGCGGTCCTTGGCTTTTGCCTAACTGCCTTTGTAGTTTAATTGAATTTAAGTGCGCCTCTACAATATGCAATACTGCAGAATGCGATGTATACACACACACGCACACACACACACACACACACACACACTCACACACCCTCACATACGCACTTGGGCGGCCTAAGTGCATTTCACTTTGTTGCACGATTTGGTGGCATGTACGCAAATGCAGTAGCTGCCGACAATCAAACTAAGCCAACCTAATGGGACGGTGCTGTAGGGGTGGCAAGGGTAGAGGCGGGCATCTGCCATATGCAGAGTTTGACACAAACTGAGTTAGTCAAGTAAAATAGTTTTATTAATTGAGCCCTGGTGAAGCCAGCCAGTGTTGAGTAATGCATATATGCATATTTATATATATACATATACACACACACACACACACACACAACACACACGCATGCATATACAGAGAAGCTGTGCAGCGCATGCAGCAAAATATTTATTAGTGAAAACTTTCGAGTAAAACGAAAATTTGCAAAGTTGAAGAAGAACTTTAAATTAGTGTTCAATTTTGCTGTTTTCTATTTATGTATGTTAATATATTTATGATGATTTATATATATGAGAATATATATACTTATATTTGTACATATGTATGTATATATAAATATCCACAATGATATTGAAATAGCTAATATAGCACTTGAGTTTAATAGCATTGCCCACATCTTTTCATTATCGATGACCAGTGTTGGTAAACTACATTGAATCATATACACATGGATGGGAGAACTTGTTTATGTTATATGGCTTGTGATTTAATCATAAAGTGAACTAGAGTGTTCAGTGTTGATCAACGTAGAAGTTCATAAAGAACACTTTATATTAGTCACAATATAATCTGATTGAAAAGTACAGGAGTGTTGGTAAATGCTGTTTTAAAGCTGTAAATGTTGGCAAACACTAGTTAAAGTCATTTACACTACCTGAACGCACTGAAGACTAGTGTTGTTAAGTGCTGCTATGAATATATAAGCCTGTTTTCGAACACTTAATACATACTGCCTGAAAGGAAACTGAATTGATGGCAGCTCTGAAGCACAACTCAATATTTTTTCAATTTCAATTCTAGCACCAAACTAAGTCCGATTTATATTAATATATCGAAGAAAGAAAAGGAATATTAAACAACACTTGTTGCTCGAATGTAAAGCCCTCACCCCATTTCGATGTGAAACAAAGTAATTTGCGATTTAATCAGAAGTCGAGCATCTCGACAAATGAACTGAAATGCAGCCAAGCGGCACTTAGAGCTGGACATTTGGTGCTCGGGCTACTTGGGCGGTCAGTTTTAGCCAAGTTTGGGTGCTTTGTTAAGTGTCGCTTTAAAAACTTGCTCGTGTCCAGTTAAGGCACATAAACAAACCGTGGATACAAACAAACAGTCGTGCCGTGCCGCCTGTCCACCGTCCGTTGTCCGTTTTGTCTGGCAAATAAAAAGCACTGAGCGAAAATCGATGTGCATAAAAGAGTAGCCAACAAGTGCAGGACCAAAACAAGAAAAAAAGAAGAGGAGAAAAGGAAACCCGAAAAAAAAACAAGCCAGCGAAATACTTCCAACTATACGGCCAGCATATTAGGCCACGGTCTGGATCTGTTGGCTCCTGGCATGGGCATGGGCATGGGCATGGGCTGGGTCCAGAAAATGTCAGAGCGCCAAAAATGGTGACAAAAAAAAAAAATTTATATATATAGACGGGGAATAAAGTAAGAGCAAGCAGCTGGGGCACGACGACGAGCAGATGCTCTAAGGGGAGTTAGATAAGTAAGTTTTTTCGATTTTAGTTAAGATATAACTAGAATATTAGTGGAATATAAAATTGATTTTGACATAGCTTTAGAAAATATGTATACAGACTTGAGCTATAAGCAATATAGTTTTTAGTGAAAGACTTTATCTATAAGGGATGTCACTTGTGAGAGGATGGGATAATTAAATAGTAAACTTGTATACAGACTTGAGCTATGGAGTTTGTAATGAAAAAGTTTATCTGCAGCAGATGAGATAGGAATACATCGGGTGGAGGCTGATCCATGCTGATATGCTGAGAAATAAACCGAGATGATATACTTATAAATGATATATCATATGCTATATGTCATCTCTATGTAATGTAATGATTTCGTCATCTATGTAGTGATACAAATATATACCTCTTCAAGAGGAACTCTCAATTATCTCTGATATTTGTATGGTATAACTACTCGCTGTATAGCATATTGATAGCTTGAGAGCCAACAGAACTCTCCTGTTTTCCAGATGTTACGTGCTGCA